CTTTAAACCACTGTCCAGACGCTGAAGTGGCAGGAAACCCTCCCAGGCCTCGTCGCATCTACCCACCCTCAGCCACTCCACTCCATAGAATTAGAATCTCATTACTAACGAGTTAATGGAGGAAGTGAGAAACATTGCTTTTAGTTTTTAAAGGGAAAATTAAATTTGGAGGGCAGGGGAAATCATTGTCATTTACACCGCTTGTGCCTGTATGACTTTTGGCTGGTAAGATCTGCTACAGAACTGACCAACATCCCCCATCCCCCTTCCAACCCCTGCCATGCCCCAAGTCCTATGTTAGGAGATAGGACACAAAGATAAGCAAGGCCAGCCTGAGTCAGCAGGCCTAACTAATCTCAGCTCTGTCTCTTCCCAGTCTAGTGAGTCTGGGGATGTTCCTAACACTGTAAAATGGGATAACAGCAGTCTACACAGAGTTAATGCTGAGAAACAGGAGCCTGGCACGTGGACAAAGTTCAAGAGATACAGCTCTGCTGCTACAAGAGGAGGCCACCAGGAGCATGCCATGCTCACCCTAACTTCTCTGAGCCTCTCCCTGGTCTGGGGCACTGTGAGTGGCCAAAAGAGTGGCTCAGGTGTGCAAAGTCACATAGACTGTTCATCCACCCCAGTGATTTTTGTTTTTTGGGGGTTTTTTTTTTTGCAGTTTTTGGCCAGGGCTGGGTTTGAACCCACCACCTCTGGTATATGGGGCTGGCGCCCTACTCCTTGAGCCACAGATGTGGCCACCCCAGTGATTTTTCTTTTCTTTTTTTGAGACAGAGCCTCAAGCTGTCCCCCTGGGTAGAGTGCCCTGGCTTCACTGCTCACAGCAACCTCCAACTCCTGGGCTCAAGCAAGTCTCCTGCCTCTGCCTCCCAAGTAGCTGGGATTACAGGCGCCCACCACAATGCCCGGCTATTTTTTGGTTGCAGCCATTATTGTTGTTTGGCGGGCCCGGGCTGGATTCGAACCCGCCACCTTAGGTGTATGTGGCTGGCGCCTTAGCCGCTTGAGCCATAGGCACCAAGCCCACCCCAGTATTTTTTGATGAAAGAGGTATGCAAGGCCAAGTGCAACGGCTCAAGCTTATAATTCCAGCACCTAGGAGGCCAAGAAGGGTAGATTGCCTGAGCTCACAGGTTGGAGAACAGCCTGAGCCAGAGTGAGACCCTGTCTCTAAAAATAGCCTGGCACTGTGGAGGGGGCACCTATAGTCCCAGCTACTCAGAGGCTGGGCAAGAGGAACACTTAAACCCAAGAGTTTGAGACTGCTGTGAGCTATGACACTACGGCACTCTACCAAGGTGATAAAGTGAGACTCTCTCTCAAAAAAAAAGAGAGATAGATATGCAAAAATCACAACACAGGATACTGGGTAAAGGCCTAAAGCTCTGGAAGTAAATTTCTAAATTCTAAAGCTAAACTTGTCCTGTAAGAAGGCAGATCCAAAATAACAAAAAAAATGCTAATGAAAAAATATGGTTTTGTTGTAGAAAAATATACAACTTTTCAGAAATTTGTCTCAAACTTAAGCTGCAACTCTTCAACATCAAGCTAACCAAAGATTTCATTACCCTTACACGACCTGTGACCAGTGCTTTTCTGTTATTTAGTCACTTTTACTTCCTTAAGTTCATGTTGCAGTGCCAACAAATCTTTTTTTTTTTTGAGACAGAGCCTCAAGCTGTCCCCCTGGGTAGAGTGCCCTGGCTTCACTGCTCACAGCAACCTCCAACTCCTGGGCTCAAGCAAGTCTCCTGCCTCTGCCTCCCAAGTAGCTGGGACCACAGGAGCCCGCCACAACGCCCGGCCATTTTTCAGTTGCAGCCGTCATTGTTGTTTGGCGGGCCCGGGCTGGGGATTCGAACCCACCACCTTAGGTGTATGTGGCTGGCGCCTTAGCTGCTTGAGCCACAGGCGCCGAGCCAAATCTTAAGATTTCATAAAATTTCTCCTGATAATTTTGTGTCCTCTAAATAATTTCACAAACTATAAATCACACTTACTTCTTTCCTAAAGGTTCTATAGGTGATTAGCCAAACATCCATTTTTTAAAATCTCATTCAGGGCTCGGTGCCTGTAGCATAATGGTTACAGTGCCAGCCACATACACAAAAGCTGGTGGGTTCAAACCCGGCCTGGCCTGCTAAAATGACAACAGCAACAAAAAATAGCTGGCCGGGCTTTGTGGTAGCCGCCTGTAGTCCCAGCTACTTGGGAGGCTGAGGCAAGAGAATTGCTTAAGTCCAAGGGCTGGGGGTTGCTGTGAGCTGTGATGCCACTGTACTCTACCATGAGGGTGACACAGTGAGACTCTGTCTCAAACAAAACAAAACAAACACCTCATCAGTACTGAGTGAGGTGGTTCCCGCTTGCAATCCCAGCACCCTGGGAGGCCGAAGTATGCGGATTGCCTGAGCTCACAGAATTGAGATCAGCTTGAGCCAGAGCGTGAACCTGCCTCAAAATAGATGGGCGTTGTGGCGGGCGCTGATAGTCCTGGGCCTGCTAAAACAATGACAACTTCAACAAAAAATAGCCGGGCATTGTGGTGGCCACCTGTAGTCCCAGCTACTTTGGAGGCTGAGGCAAGAGAATCATTGGAGCCCAAGATTTAAAGGTTGCTGTGAGCTATGACGCAATAGCATTCTACTGAGGGCAACAAAGTGAGACCTGTCTGAAAATACATACATACATACGTACATACATACATTCCAGAAGACTTCTTTATCTGGTTTACATAAGAAAGTGACTGGTTTTAAAGTGGATTTGACTACTTTGTAAATTGTATGGTCAAGAA